TGTACTGCCTTGCCAAAATTCACTCTGCCCATCCAGTCTGAACACTGCAAGCAGGTCTTTTGAGAATTCCTTGACCCTCATTTATCAGTGTGTATGTTAAAGCCCTTGATCTTCTTTCTAACCGAGTCTTGGTTTAATGGGGAGGGTGCTACTTGTTTATTTGATAAGATGAAAATGCCCATCTGTTCTTGTTCTGCCATATTATGGAAGCATGCATTTTCATTCCCAGGATCAGAGAAATCCATCACCCCCCTTCTCTGTAGAGACTGCCATGGCTGGCTGCAGGACCACACCCTTCCATCCAGGATAGGGCTCTGAGTTTTCTTCACATTTTTAAAGCTCTAGTAGGAATGTCCACATTGTAGAAAGGACTTCCCACGGTGAGTAATCTTACTGGTAATCTCAGCCACTTTCCACCATGCCTTGCTCCTCTGACAGCATCAGCAGAAATGTTCCCCCATCCTTGAAGAAGAAAAGTCCATCACTTGTGGGAAAGAGCCCAAAGTGTCTATGTTTTGTTCTGTACCCTTCTACTCAATCTTACTGTTTGCCCATTGTTCTAATTCCCAGTTTTGTGAAATATCAGCCAGAATATCACAACTGGGATAGTTTTACAAATATTGCAGTACATTGAACTGAAAGGTGATGATGTTAGCAATCTAGACTTGCATAATTTTCACACAGAGTGTGAAAGGAACAACAGCTCCCTTGGAAAAGGAAAAGGTGATGCCAGCTTACCCCATTTCATGTTCCAGTTTGCAGATTATGAAAGCAGAAAGTGGCTGCCAATGTTTTAGGTGGGGTAGGGTTGGTGTGATGGATCTGCCCCACCAGCAGTCCTCTGACTTTCATCCTGCCATTTTTAACCCATCATCTCCATCATGTGTCTTCTAGGATAGCCTCCATCTCTTGCTAGCATCCACAAAAGCCTGAAGATGCTGAGTGTTGCAGTTTGTCACATTGGAAAAGTGCCAGGTTGGCAAAGGCTGTGCTACGTCATGGCATAATAGCACTTTATGGAGTTTGGGGAGTGGTGGGGGGAATAATACAATGATAACAAATAAAATACACCACGTATTCTTTCCCCTAGCTATCATACCCTTAACTATTTCACTGCCACACTCAACTTGAGTCAAAATTTTTGTAATTGTCTTTATCTGCCATGTTTGATCTTAATCTGCACTGTTAAAACAATCTTTTTTTTTTTTTTTTTTTTTTTGCATGGTGAGTGACTAAGGTTTGAAAGTCAGATATCCCATTTGTTTCTGTCTCATGGCAGGGAATGCTTCTGTGAAAGGACTCCGCTGTTGGGCTTAGGGCGTGTTCTTAGTTTGTTAGGCTTGCCTGTTTCTCACCTTAGTAACATGAGTCTCTGTCGAAGAGACAGAAGGAACTTCCCCTCTCTCTCATTCTGCCTTGTTCTGCTCTTTCTTCCAGATGAAATTTAGATAGAAGTGAGGCTCTTCCATCTCACGTATTTCTTAATCAATCTCATTTTTTCCCCTTCAAATGCATTTGGGTTAAGCCCATATCTTCATCCAAGACTACTATATTATGAACATTAAAAAAAAATTAATAGGAGGTTCTGTTACTTAATTACTCAGTCTCCTTTCAGCACTCCACTTAAGTTCAGGAGCACATCCTCCCACAGGAGCTCCTGCTAAGTTCAAATATCCAAGAGAAATGCATCCCATGTTCCTGAAAAGGTAAAACAAGGACATGTTTCCATCCCCTCTTTTGTTCCTGCCTCTCAATTTGACCAATTACTCTTACTTGAGTACAGGTAAACCTTAAATGAAAGAGGGAGAATGATATACCAAAGATGATAAAACAGCCAAGAAGTAGATGATGGGAGGAATCTTCCTATCTCTGATCCCCCAGAAATAGAACTTGCCAGTCAGAGCACTCCTTATTAAACCAACCATTAAATTTGGAGAAAAGGAGTTCCTTGTGTTCACAGAAATATATAAAAAATGGGCTTCAGAGGAAAATCAACTTCTAGTTTTGGCCTTTTCTTTCATGTTGACGATTCCTTAGCCAAGAAAAAATTATTCCAGTATGGCAAAAGAATTGCTTTTTTATCTTCATAGGCTCCAAGTTGCATTCAGTTGAATGTTAAGTCTGGAGAGTAATACCAACATATGTGCAAAGTATTTGTGCTCCATTGTGTAGTGTTGGGCTTCAGGGCTTAGTGGCCATAGTCTAGACAAAAGATTTCCTGACATTTTGCTGGCAATGGTGGCTGGCCTCTTCAGAGGCAAGGTGATCCGCTATGTGGACCACAAGCAACAGAGCAGGGACTGAGTGGGCTCCTGTCTTTATAGCCTAACCTGTCTTTAGCCCGTCTCTAGTGTTATAGCCTGTCTAGACCACGGTCACTAAACCCCAAAGCCCAACCCAACCCAACAGATGCTGGCCCTGAAAGCCTACACCAGAATATATGTATTCCCTTCTTTGATGTGTTATCCTACCCTGCCTCCCTACAACTTGGATGATTGAATTGGCGGTATCATTGTAGATAAAATATTGACCTAGAATTAGTGGTGCCCAGTTCAAATCCATGATTGCGTGACCTTGCTCCATCATTCCCTCTGCCTTAAAATTTGGAGATCCTTGTATAAGTCCTCCACCCCATGTCAAGTGGTTCAGGTGTGAAAAGCAAGGATTCTTTGGGTTGCATTTGCCTGAAGTGCTTGGGCAAATTAGCACTAAGACCATAGCAAATACTTTGCTTGTCATTTGGCTCTGGCACATGGTCAGCCTTGTCACCCTTTGCAGCCACATCAATTTCCTGGGAGGAAGAATGGGATTTCATCAATAACCACAATGAGAGAAAGCTGCATCTCCTTTCTTGGAGAGGGTTCTTTAGGAGTTTTGCAACTGAGTTTCCAGGTTTGGGCTGCAGGCTATGTGTCTAGGTGTCCTCTTTGCTCCTTTCTTACACATTTCCAGCACATTTCTGTGCCTGAGATTGACAGGGCTGTTCCATGATGAGCTTTAAAGGATAGCCTCTTGTGCTTCATTTTCTCTTCTCAGCGGCCACATGTGGACTTACAGGCAGCTGAAATGCATTTGCAGGGGTTCCCAGCACGGCGAGATGTGGGGAAGGGGGAAGAGACTCTCTGGTATTATGTAATCCTCCAGTTGCAATCCCTTCTCATCTGTGAACTCACTGGGTGGTCACTGGTAGTGGCTGGCTTCAATCCATCAACAGTCAATCTGTCTGTGAACTCATTGCCCATTGCTCCAATCATTAATAGGAACCGGACTAAATAAAGCTGTGATACTTTTCCAACACTGAGCGAGTTCTCCGTTCAGATATGTATCCTCAGGGTCAACCTCAGTTAACCAAAATACATGACTTTAGATGTCATAAACTGTCCTGCATGTCTATGCATTAGAAGTTGAGGATGCAGGGTTAGGCGGTATATCCCTTTGCACACACAATCCCCCATCTTGCTAAAATGGGTAAGAAGTTGTGGTCCTCTAGAACTTACCAGCATCCCTTCCCAGTGATCATGCTAACTAAGGTTGCTGGAAGTTGAAGCTCAACAACCTTTGAAGACCATGAGTACTCCAGCTCCTGAAAGCAGAGACAACTTGTATTAATAGCCTGTGTTAACCTAACATTGTGTATTTCACAGAGGTCTATTATCTTAGTCCCCAGGAGGTCTGAACAAGTAAAAATGCACAATGAATTTCTATGAATTATCATAACAATAGGAAAGAACAGGTGTAGCCTCCCATTTCCAGACCTGTTGGACTTCTAATCCCAGAAGCCCCAGCTGGCATAGCCAATATGCGCCTAATCTTTTAGGAGGTTACCAGGCTGGAGGAGAAGGCTTTCCTGAGTGGTACAAATTGGGGCCAGTTCATACCAGGATTCACAAAAATCACATTCCCACAGTCCCTAAGAACGGATGAGATTTTGGATAGATAGATAGATAGATAGATAGATAGATAGATAGATAGATAGATAGATAGATAGAGTTCTGGGTTTGAGAACTTTGCTGAAAAGCTCAACATTGGGCATGGCTATTTCCTGTGGAAACTGGACTCTTCCCTCTCTGATCCAGATTGACTATTCTGAGCCAAATCTCCCTCGCTGATAAGCCAAGGCAGGACTAATTTGCAAAAAATGGTAGAACCCTGTGCTTTCTAGCTTTTTAAGTTTTGGAGTCCCAGAGAGAAAATATTAACTGTTTTCTATTCTTGTTTCCTATGTTGACACATTTTTTCCCCTCCATTGTCTTTTATCTATTGAAACCAATGGCCTGGTCAACAGGAGCTTAAGGAGAAATAACTGGGGTTAAATTTCAGCTAGCTAGTTTTATTTCCCACAAATGAATTGTTTAGGTCATAGAGACTGGGATAAATGTTTTCATTCTTGCCACCCCAACACCCATCACCCAACACCCATCGCTGAAAGACCTGGTTTGCTTTGCATGCCAAATCTCTTGCTTCCATATCTAGTTCCCCCACAAAAGGACTGGGGAGAGTTGAAAGGAAGAACACTTATTTCTTGAGACCCCAGAGAACTACAACCAACCAGCCCACCAAGCAAGATGGGCCAATGGCTCCACTCAACAGGAAGGGACTTTCTGTGTTGCTACGATAGCAGGAGTTGGACACATCACATCGGCTTGGCTCCTCTCCATGGCAACTTCTGGGCCCAGCCAAATCTCATTAAGATGCATCAAACCTTCAGAAGGTTGAGAAACAGACAGAATTAGGCACAGCAAAAAGTCGGGGAAGATCTGGCGGAGGTTCCCTTGCCTCCGGGCCTTTGTTCCCATCCCAGCTGGGTTTGATTAAGTTCTCTTGGCATTCCAGCACGTTTGTGAACTGCTCGATTCCAGCTCGGGGGCCTGGCGCAACAGCAGCCCTTCATCACTGAGTCAGCCTGGAGTTGGAAGGGTGGGGGGAAATCTTCACTTTTCCACCTCTGGAGAGAAAAGCAAAGAGAGGGAGGGGGAAAGGAGCTGAAAAGCACTGTGAGCTGAGTTCTCCTGGAGGTGTCTCCAACTCTAAGGATTCCTCCAGTTTGCTTTGCAGCCGAGATCAGAAGCAGCTTTTTTCTATCTCTGCCATTCCCTGCTTGCGCCTTCTTGGAACATCAGAAAGAAAGGGGGGAGTTTTAAAGAACGTGAAAGTTGGAGCTGACAGTTGCCAGATTCAACAGTGACGTAGGCTGCAGGCTCGCGCGCTTGCTTGCTGGGGACACAGTTTCTCACACTCTTCTTAGAAACATGGCCAGCTGTGTGTAGCACCTCCAGCAGGTAAGAGAATGGCTCTCTCCCAGTTTGGTTTGCAGCTAGCTTTCTAACATCCGTACCCTGTACAGCAGGAACTTTCTCTTTGCTTTGATCCTTGTGAATTAGCAAGTGGGGTTGCTAGAAGTCCCCTTTGGAGGGGAAGCTTTTCAGCTCAACGAAACCAATGAGCTCAGAAGCTGCAACTTTTCTTCCCTGATGTGCATCTTGGACACTGTGATATTAAACCTCTCAAAAATTCTCCTTGCCTGGAAAATGGTTGACACACAGTTCTGCTTAATGTTGGGAGTCTATGGGTGTGTGTGTGTGAGAAAGAGAGGGGGGAACTGTATTTAGCGCAGACCCACAAGAGAGCCCAGGAAGATGTGGAAGAGGAAAGTCAAGGGCTTCTTCACGCATCTTGGACTATGACACAAATACTTCCAGATGTGTTTTATGCACAGTCTTATCTGAAGAGATTAACAGAGCAACTGCGTAGGAGAAGCTGATTTTTGAACCAAATGGTCCAGTTGCATCATCCTAGAAACAACCCTTTCAAAAGGGTCTGAGGAGGAAAAATCCTACATTTCGCAGGATACAGACTTACTACATGCTTTCATCGCATATATTTGCAAGGAAATTGTGGCAAAAAGTCCATGGGACCCATTCTTAGGACTTGCTGAAGCTCAACTTTTTTCTCTTTCTTGGTCACTCTAATCCAGCAAAGCTTCTAGCTATAGGTCATCAGTTGGTGAACCTCAAGTTCTTCTTAAATCCAGGTTCCTCAGTGATAAAGGAAAGCTTTAAAAAAAAAAAAAATGCTAAAACTAGCTGGAGGAGGGGGCTTCCTACCGTAGTTCATGGCTTGGCTAAGTTCCTCAAGTTGTGAGGGATCATCTTTTCTGTAGAAGCTCTTGGTAACCTATGGAGTCATTCCAACCTGACATTTTAGCCATTGAGAGGTTATTACCCAAATTATTTCAAGTGCTGCATTATCCAGATGGTTCCTAAATGGCTGGGTAAGTGCCTGAGAGCAAGAGAACCGCACCACTTTCCATCTTATATTTATGCAACACAATAGTAAGTATATATTTCTCCTTGAATAAGAGTGAGCAAGCCCCCTGTGGTCCTATGATTGGAGCTACATCATGGACTTCTCTCCTTTCCTTTCAGTTTGGGATCTGAGGGCTGCTACCACTAATTTAGGCTACTCTTCCCATCACTACAGCTAGCTCAAACCTGAGTGTTTCTCCTGCCCCTTGTAGCCAACCAGATCAATGCTAGCAACTGAGCAAGTGGTGTGGATGTCACTCTATTCCATCACTCTCAAGCTGTGTTGGAATGCTGCTCTGCTCATCCTCTTCCAGTATGGAGAATCCTGCTCAAACGATATCATTTTCAAGACTAGAAGGGACCAGTTAATGAAGGAGCAAGGAGGGAAAGAGTTGAGTACATTGCACAGGGCTCTCTGCTTATCTGTGTGTAAGCAAAAAGTGTGAGACAGGGTGAGAAAATGAGAAGTGGCTCTTTTGCACATCCCACTTCATCCCATCATCTCATGACCTCATTAGAAGGATAGGAGTTGGGATTTCCAGCCCAGTTTCTTGTCCCCTGCCCCTCCTTAATTTATTGGTACATCAAGTGTAATTCCACCTATTTCTCTTACTTCCCATCTGAAAACGACTTAGGACTTCCATTACTGCAATTCAGCTTTGAAACTGAAGGTCAGTGGTATAATCCTGGGGTGGGGGGCACATGGGGCTTTAGCTTGGTATTTTTGCCCACCATTTCAGTGTTAAAGCAACTCCTGATACCATCCACATTTTAAAACTTTTTCAAATTCTTTTCCCTCTCAGATTTCAATAGCAATCTATATTGGGCCAAATGTACCAGCTTCGAGTCCCCTAATGGTTTGGAGGGTTAGTATTTCTTTCAAAGCTATAAATAGGGTGGGACCAAGGAATTTGGAGGACTTTCTTCCTGTAGCAACCTGCCTGTATGGGCTGTTCCTGCTAGCTCCTATGTCTCTATCTTGTTGGATGTACAGTCAAGACGGAAGGCTGAATCTGTCAGTTTCAACTTCACTCCATCTTCATTGGCTGACATACTGACTTGCAATTCTCTCCCTCCCATATCTGCATGAAAATTGGTGCGCATTTTTGTATCCCTTCCACGATTCACATGCTTTTGTTCACTTTTCTAATGGAGACACTTTTTGCAAGGAATCCTTCTGTAATAGAATTTGCTTTGATGAATACTTTCTTATAAAATGTAGGTTTGGGTTTCTATATGGCTTTTGCAAATGGGAACTTAGCAAGTTCATATAGAAAGTGAAGTTAGTTAATTTCCCCAGTAACTGAATCATAAGTCATAGAATTGTGGAATCGAAACTACAAAGATCTAATCCAATTCTCAGGAATATGCGGGTCAGCTACTCAAACCAGTGTTTCTCAACCTTGATAACTTTAAGATGTGTGGACTTCAGCTCCCAGAATTCTTCAGCCAGCATGAGAATCCACAGCTTGAAAGTCCACACAAAAGTTGCCAAGGTTGAGAAACACTGATTTAAACCACCCAGGAAAGGTGGCTAGCCAGTCTTTTCTTTAGAAGGTGCAGAAACAAAAAGCCACAAATTCCATAAATTGATTGTTCCACTGCTGTACATATCTTACTATCAGGAAGTTTTTCCTTATATTTAACCAAGATCCAGGGAGCTGCAATTTCTATCCATTATTGCTGGAAAATCCATCATAGCAAAGGCTAGTATTTTCTTGACAGTAGCAACCCTCCACAAAAAAAATTTTTTTTTCCTACCATGTTCCCATTACAGCTTTTTTCACTTTTTAAAAAAATTAATATTTTTAATGTGCTTTTGTATCTTTAAGAAGCATAACATTCTATGCACTTTTCTAATTTTAGAAGGACAATATAGAACACAGTTTTAAGGAAATAATTTACCTTGCTGGATATTTTACATGAGCCAGTTCTTCAAGTCAGTCTAAAAGTTTGTTTCAACTTCATTTTGACAGTGGGAAAAAATTCCTCAATCTTACGCAGAACAGGCTGTCTTTTTCAGAGGTCAGATTGTTCTTCCTAATATAAAAGCACCCTGGAATTTTTGTTGATTCTAACACTTCTTGAAAATGTTATTAGCTGGTGGCAAAACATGCCTGGCTTTGAGGAAGGGTGTCAAGATCCAGAAAACATTTTTGCCAGAAATCAGTCTGAGTCTAAATTAGGGTTGCTCCTGAACTTGCCTCTAGGAAGTTTAAATGCTGCACTTATATTTCCAGCCAAATATGGGCTGTCCAGCAGCAATTTTGGTAATACTTGAAAGAAAATCCAACCATTTTCAGAAGGCATTCTATCGATGGTCAAATCTGGCCAAACTATGGCTAAATCAAACTGAACTGAAGGTAAAGGATTTTTCCAAACCAAAATATTCCCCAAATGACAAAGGAAAGTTACACTTAAAAGCATTTGCAGATGTCTTTTCCTGCTATGCAGGGGTGCTCACAGAATGTGGTCAAAAACATCAAGATAGTAGCCATGCTGGTGTGCGAACCATAAAAAGCAAGTGGAACTTCAATTGCACTGTTGTGCTGCCATCTTGACTTTCTAAACCATACCCCGTGGACACCCCGCGGCTGTGTACGTAGCAATAGATGGAGGAGCATGAAGCGAGGAGGGATTTGGTGAAAGAGGCCAAAGGAACATTGAACAGCACCAGTGAGGCAGGTAAGGGAAAAGGGGGTAACTTGAGCAGAGATGAACGATTCCTAAAATCCATGCAACCCAACCACCCCCACCCCCTCCAGCTTTGCAACATGTGGAAAATTCAGCTGCAAAGGGGCTAATAATGTTTGTGTATCTTTCTGTTCTTATTTTTTTGGACAATTTAAGCTGCAGTAGTAGCATCTCTGGGAAAGTTGGTGCTCCTACCTTTTTGTAAAACATAATCTAAAACTAAACCAAGTCCCCAAATTTGACCCAGCCCGCTCTTGGAATATTACCACTATACTCTCCTGTCCTCTCAAAGGCTGAAAATACTGTAGGGTGGAAAAGAAGGGTTTCTGTGCCGCTAAAAAACATTGCTGCCTTTAGGCAATGGTGACCTGAGAAGAACTGCCTCCTCCTTTCATGGACACCACCTAGATCAGTGCTTCTCAACCTTGGCAACTTGAAGATGTGTGGACTTCAACTCCCAGAATTCCCCAGCCAGTGCTGACTGGGGAATCCTGGGAGTTGAAGTCCACAGAGCTTCAAGTTGACAAGGTTGAGAAGCACTGATCTAGATCTGTGCTTAATAGGCCGCAATTGGGAGCATCCACGGAAGGGGGTCAAAATAATTATGGTGGCCGCTGGGACTGCAAGATTGCAGCTCGACCTCTTTTCAATGTGCAACTTGCCCAGAAAGGAGGTGGAGCTTCACTTGTGCAGTCACAGCCACCATCTCGACCTTTTGATCCCTCCCCACAAACACTTCTGGTAGAAAGGTAGCCAATTGGACTGCTGCTCTTTACAGTATCATAATGCAGGGCAGATATGACTGGGTTGTGATCTTACAAGCAGCATAGAGGGCTCTGAGAAGGACAGGAGCTCTGTTGGGGAAGGTGGAGCGAATGGTAGGAGAAGTTGGCAGTGGCTGCTCTTTTCCTGAGAAGAGTAAAGATCAGTTGCAGGAATGCATGAACAAGAGCAGAAGCTGTTCCCAGCACAGGAAATGTTGTGAAAGTAAAAAAATGAAAGTGGGAGTGAAGAAAAGCTAGAGGATGGATGAAACACCATTTAGGAATGTTGCTGTTAACCACCTCTGGTTGTCATTCTGATAACTTCCCTCAAAATTCAAAGGCTTCAAATTTCAATAATACAACCATCCTTTCAAGATGGTTGAAGACTCAACCATGAGTAGTTGTTGGTGCACAAACTGATTTTTTAAAAAATGCTGTTGGTTTTGAAGCAAGTGCTGTCATCAATCACATTTAGTGTGTGTGGTAGGGAAGTGAGAAGGCCAGTAGGATGCAATG